GGATAGATATATAGTTGCATTCTCTTAATGAATAGAATGATTTTTTCTACTGGTGTTTGTAAATAGGATCTCAAGTCTGCATCTTGTGCAGCAATTGACCACTAAGAAGAATATATGCAGTGTATTATTTGTTGAATCTGTACTTCCGATTTGATTTGAAACTGTCTTTTTGCTATCTGTTTATCAATTAAAGTTTGAAAAAAATAAATAAATTATATAACTGTGGCCAAAAAAGAAAACAACAACCCAGCTCATCACCTAAATATAAACACTACTCCCAGCATGTTTGTGTAATTATGTGTCAATTTGAAGAGGAAACAAATGAAAGTCAGGAAAATTTGTAGTATCACAACTGTAAGTAAAGTGATTATGTTCTAAATGTTGGACTTCTAAAAGACAGGATCTTAAGTTCATTAAAACTTGAAGTTTGGCCTTTGGATTCCAGCCAGAAATCTCCCTTGGAAATTGCTCCCTGAGGATGACCAAATGCGGTAGTATTCAGCATGCACATTATATGAGGTGCCCTGGAGGTACCAGGCCCAGAGGAGAGGTTATGCTCATCGGATTCCTTTCCCACTTCTGCCTCAAGATCTATTGAGAGGAAAGTTCCTGGCACAGCTTCCCGTTGATCAAGACTTCAAAAGAACTTGTAGTGCAACACAGTTTTACTTAGAGTAAAAAAAAAAAAAAAGAAAAATGAAAGCTGAAAAATAAAAAAAAAATATACCTCTAGGGAAACAAATTGTCTACCATAATTTTCACCTCAACCATATGATTCTCAAATTTTATTTTGAAGAATATTTTGTGGTTGACAAATTTCTAAACAAAGCATCTTGAGATATCATTTTTCAAGCTACTTTGGGGCACAGTAAGTATCTTTCTGAAAACAGGAGAATTTTCTAGATATAATATAAAATTAATATAAAAATTTGTGTATGTATAATTTATATCCTTCCAGAAATAATGCTGGGATTTATGAAAAAGGGAATCTGTGTCTATGTAACTATGTTCATGTAACAAACATTGTTGAATTACTGTCACCTGGTTTCCTGACATTCTGTATCATATCTCATATTGCTGTGACATTTTCAACAATTTTTATCATCTTTTTAAAAAGTATATATTGTGAATGTATAATATTGAAAGAAATGTGATTTCGAACGGGCAGCTTAAAAAATACATTGTTACCAGTGCTGAAAAGCCATACGCACTTTTGCTGCCTCACGAAAGGTGGGAAATTTCTCTTCATGGAAAGATAAGGGCTTTGTTTTTGTCTAAATCCCTGCCTCAGAGGTTCGCTTTGGCATGGGCTTTCGTGTCCAGGTGATCGCAAGCTCCCTTCTATCCTTGTCTAAACTGAGCCAGTCTTAACCACTTGGGGTCACACCCTAGTATTCTTTTCAGGCAGATGTAATATTTTTGAGAAAAAGGATTTAAGTTCTGTGCAATTATTTGACTGGTTCAGCTAAAAAATGTTGGAGAAAGAGCTTATTAAAAATAACACAAAACACATTAAAGATTCAGTTTTAAGCCAAGCATGGTGGTGCACACCTGTAAATCAAGTACTCCAGAGGTTGAGGCAGGATAGCTACAAATTCCAGCTAGTCTGGAATTTATAGCAAAATATTGTGTGCAATGAGCAAAACAAATCATTTTTTTCTCAGTTACCATATTTTCAAGAATTAATACTGATATGGCACACCTACATCCCAAGAGAAAAATTAGCTACTATGAGAATTCAATGGGAACAAAGGACAGAGAGGGATAAACACAAACAGTTTTCATCAGTGTCAACAATGCATCCTCATTCAGGAGTGCTGAGCCACATTCCATCAGCAACAGCCCATCACGTGTCTGTTCTCTGCAGTCAGATCATCTAGGAGAAATCAGAGGCTGTGCGTAATGGCCATTTGACATGAGTAATCTCTGCGTCCTAGCTCTGGGGTAAAGGATGTGGTAATGTTATGGCATATTATTTTCTACACAATTAAATGTATTAATAATGTAAATTATTTTAAAAAGTAGTCAATTAAACACAGAAAAACTGCATTTCATTTATAATGCACCAGAAATAAAGTTTCCATTATAAGCATATCTATGCATGGAGAATATATTTTTTCTCTCTTGTACACAATACATTCGTAATTGTCTAGGTACATGAAATAGGACAGATATTGAGGCACTCATGTGATCAAAACTGTTTTTGGTGACAGGAAAATTTGAAACTGATTATTAAAAACACAATTGCAGTAGAACACCATGGAGATCTGGAATGCCACTAATGAGCCTGGCTTCGTCCTCCTGGGTCTGGCAGATTCTGCAGAGACACAGCTGGGCCTCTTCCTGCTCTTCCTCCTCATCTACCTGGTCACGGTGCTGGGGAACGCAGGGATGATCCTGCTCATTCGCCTAGACTGCCAGCTGCACACCCCCATGTACTTTTTCCTCACTCACCTGTCCTTCCTCGACCTCAGCTACTCCAGTGTCATTACCCCAAAAGCCTTACAGGACTTAGTGTCTTCCACCAAGACCATCTCATTTGCAGGCTGCTTCACTCAGCTGTACTTTTTTGTAGTCTTTGCTGCTGCCGAGTGCTTTCTTCTTTCTTCAATGGCCTATGACCGCTATGTGGCTATCTGCAAACCTCTACGCTATCCAATAGTGATGTCCCCAAGACTGTGCCGGGCCCTGCTAGCTGGTTCCTACGTCCCTGGTCTTGTGGATTCCACTGTGAATGTGATTTTCATGAGCAGACTGCATTTCTGCAACTCGAAAGTCATCCATCACTTTTTCTGTGACTCATCCCCAATTTTAGCCCTGTCCTGCAGTGATATCTCTAAAGTTGAGCTCATTATATTCATTTGTGCTGGATCCAACTTACTGCTGTCCCTCATCACCATCTCTGGATCCTACGTGTCCATCCTCTCCACTATCCTGCGAATTCACTCCACTGCAGGAAAGCGAAAAGCCTTCTCCACCTGTACCTCCCACCTCCTGGGTGTCTCTCTTTTTTACAGCACTCTCATTTTTACTTACCTCAAGCCGAAGCAGTCCTACTCCCTGGGCAAGGATCAGGTGGCTTCTGTGTTTTATACCATTGTGATCCCCATGCTGAATCCCCTCATCTACAGCCTCAGGAACAGAGAGGTGAAGAGTGCTGTCCTGAGAGTTCTGCGGAAGAAAGGTGCTCCAGGCCATAAGAGCAACAGTGAGCAAAGACATTGATTCTTACATTTTTTCTTTGTTTTTCATTCTGGGAAATTCTTTGATCCCATTCTGAAAATAATTGAGCCTTATGTATTGTTGCCTCTGCAGCTATTATTTATTAGCACCCATGATCTTGGACATTTTGAGGCACTGGAATTTGGAGTCATGAATTAAATGTTAATTCTTTTCTTTTTTTTTTTTCGGAACTGGGGATTGAACTCAGACCCTTGCATTTACCAGGCAAGCGTTTATTCTACTGAACTATGTCCCCAAAATTGTTATTCTTAAAATGTAAAGACAATCTGTCACTTTAAGGAAAGCTTATGGAGAAATGTGAATAAATTTCTGTAAGTTTTAAACTGCACCAATGTAACATTTGTATATATTCATTTTCATAGGAGAACCTGTACTGTAACATCACGTAACTCAGTTGTGTCCCAAATTTTCTGATCACGGAAGAAAAGTGATCAAGGATTATGGGGCCACAGAAGAAAGTGATCAAGGATTCCAGTTTACCTAAGGAGAGTCACATGGAAAGAAAACATTCTCTCAGGCTTTCACAAAAAGCAAATTGATCAAGCAATGATTCTGACTCATCCACATGGCTGACACTGACAAAGAATCTACAAACAGTGCTACAGGGTTTCAGTACAAATCCTGAGAGGATTTGACTGACCTTGTCAGATACAAAAGTTACATTTCTTGTTATGTAGGTTTTGATTTATCTTGGTCTTAACCATCCAGCAGAATAGTATATAAATGAGGTATAAAGAGTAAAGCACCATTAGTATGCTGAGCTGTAAAGGGCTCAAGACAAGAACTTCTGACATTGCCCGTCCTACATATAACCCACTACTATTATGGACTGCTGGACTATATTGGAATATTTCACTGAATTCACACACATATAATATTTAAATGACAATGGACTACCAATTTCTGACAAAACTAAACAAAAAAGTGGATACAAGGGAAGGACCTTGTTGTATCTGTATATTAAAAATAGTTAGAATAGATATACAGCTAATTTCTCTGAATTCAATGAATAGAAAGATTTGTTATAATAGTGTTTTTGGACAGGATATAACGTCTGCATCTTGTACTATGAATAACCATTAAGAAATCAACAGTATGCAATGTATTAATTATTGAAATTGTCCTAATAATCTGTTTTGAAACTGTTTCGTTGCTATTTGTTTCTCTATAAAATTTAAAAAAAAAACGATTGCATAATGCAAAAGCCCCTCATTTGTCATGCTTCATGAGGTTTACACTGATTAGCAGCAGCAAGGTGAAGAGCAGTGGCTTCTGCATGATCATAGCATTTAGGTGTTAGGTCTGCTGCCTTTTTCAGATTCCATCCACAAATTCCCCAAAAAGTTTAGTGTACCGAAGTTCACATTTTGTATAATACTTTCATGCTTTCTGGTCAGAAGATAGAGACACAACTTTTAGGACAATACAATAAATGTTACCCTTTATCAAAA